CACGTTTATCTTGTTGTTCAACCCAGGATTACATGGGTTGGTGTTTTTTTCATATGAACTAAATAAATGTGTTGCTTTCTAAAAAGATTGCAACTACAGTCCTGTTAGGGGAAGACTGCAAATGCTAGAGGTTCCTTTATTCATTGTAAAATATGCAGTATTTTCCTTGGCTGGATTATCTGCTTCACTCAGCAGATCATTTGGTGAACAAGCTCAAACTGAATACTTTTTTTTATAAAAACACACGATTGCAAATAAATGTAGGCTTGAAGTCTTTGTTATTAAAGCGATAAAAAAGTAGAACACTCTGTTCCTCCCTGAACAAGAGGAGATGTAAGTCATTATATGTCATCGACAGCTGACTCTAAACTGCATGAAAGCCTGTCACTTTAAATTAATGAACACTCAAGCAACCTTTAGGTTACAGGACAGATCCTCCAATTAAAAATGTAATGATGCAGAGCCATTACACACAATAGCATCAGGGGTTATTCACTGTCAGTGTTATTGATGTTGTTGGATGGTTAATAACTGATTAACATGTATGTGGAGTACTTGCATTGATAATTGTCAATCCTTACCTGTATGGTAATTGCAGCCCTATAGAAATCCATACATCTAGCAGGTTTAATGATGTCGAAACAACATGTTTCACAATATTGTCTTGATAAAAGTAGTTGGCAATAGTTGGTGCATGTGTATATAAAAACTGTTTTGATATTAATTGGTGATTAATATTGCAAAGATTTTACTTCTCACATAATGGATAACTACATGGATTGAGGAAGAGCCTGTGGCGCTGTCTTCTTCTCTTTCCCTTCTCAATGCGGTTGCATAATGCACAAAGCTACACAAACAACCCCCCCATAATTACCCTTGCTCTCTCTGCGCTCTCTCATTCTTTTTTTCTTTGATGTTTAAAATTAGAGTTGAAAGCAAGGTCAGTGTTTTTTATAAAATGTTCATCAGAGATGTATTATTTTGAGGAATAAGAAAAACAAGCCAAATAAAAGATAATTAGTTGGAAAGGAAATTCAGTTTTCTGGTTGGGTGAATACTGCCAAACTCTGGATGAATGAATGAAGGCACCTGTATACAGTAGCAGGTTATATTTGGCTATACACGGAAATGAATTTCACTTTTGGGAGTGTATGAGAATATTTAAATCAAAATAGAATAAATAAGGAAACAAAAACGTAAAGTCAGAGAGTACATATGAAGTGTGCAGCTTTGATTTGCACAGAATGTGATGTTCAAAATGTGTGTTTTCTACACACGCCTGTGGCTATCGATAACTCACAAACGCCCAGCTATATTAAAACACATGTGTGAAGAATGAAGTGAATCTCCATTGAATTCATCCATCCTGTAGTTGCAGAGGTAAAGTGCTCTCAAGGAGATGACCTTTCCAACATTATACCTTGAAGGTTGACCTATTACTAATATCACAATTCACTCTTTAATTCTCCCCACATTCTTGACAGCTGGACATCGGGCGCTATATGGCCTTGATAGATTTCTTTCAGCTTCTCTCCTTTTCCACTTCCCTCTCCATCTTACAGCTCACATCCTATTCATATAGGTGGCAGGGTTATCAGAATGTGAGCAGTTGTTTCTTCCCCGATTCATTTGTATATGCTTGGAAGGATTATTCCTCCAGTCACATATCCTAACTAACCAATCAACTTTCCCACCCTTTCCCATGCCACTTTGGTTGTTTTTCACGTGGAAAAAAGGCAATTTGATTCTTTGTCACCTCAATCGAGTGTCTACGCCCCTCCCGCTCAATCTTCCCATATCTTGAAAACACATCTTCATTTTGGCACGGTCATTTGACTACAGCAATAACTCTGTATGACTTCATTTAAAATGCTGTTTGGCACGATTGTGAAAGTCTTGTCAGATGGTATTAGAGAGATGGGTTACTGTGTAGAGAGAGAGAGAGAGAGAGAGGGGGGGGGGGAGAGAGAAAGGGGGGAGAGAGAGGGGGGGAGAGAGAGAGAGAGAGAGAGCGCGATAGATAATAGCCTTGCTGGAGAAACAATCTGAAAGAGACAAACGCTGATATATTGTTTCTTAGAAAACATGGTCGATATAGAGAAATGTGGCTGCTTTATTTCAATTCAACACGGCAACTCAGATCAGATTTTGATAGCATATGAATTCCCACATGATGCCGCTCTCACACATGTGTTCACAACCTGGGAACTGTTAAAGGCAATCAGTATGAATTGTCCATATGTGTTTTTGTTAGTTTCACAGTCAGCTTGGCGAACACAATAACCTTTTCTTTCATTAAATCCAGATAAGACTTTAAAGCAGCTGTATAAAGGCACAAGAATCTAATTTGCTAGACTGCAATGGTTTATTGATGATGGTTGTAATAAAGGGGGTGGAATGATATAGTTAAGTATCACAAAATTAAGTTTGTGATACTGTTCTGTTCTCGAAAATTATATAGATTGTTAGACAGATAGTGGCTCAGATTGTAAGAAGTTGCGCTATGTTGTTGGCTGATTTTAAATCCACAACATACTGTATACTATCAGTCTAATTATTGCCCATAGACAGCCCATAGCAAGGCTACAATTGAACAGCCACTGAGTAACCTTTAATGGAGCAGTTGGGGTTTAAGTGCCCTGTTTATGGACAAATTGACAACAGTTGTTGAGAGTTGGCAGAATCTGTCCCTTTATACACTAGCTTTTTTACAACAAATTGTGCTGCTGTTGACACTTGGAAGCAGGCAGCCTTTAGGCTTTAATTGCTTGCCTCCCAACTGTGCTTTTTATACCATAATTATTTGGATGGATAAATAGATATAAATGCGATGTGCAGAGAGTGTATATTGTTATTTTAATCATGGAAATTAAGTTAATGCATTACCTTGGTTGTGCAGGTCAAGGCCACAGACTCTGAGGCAATTGTTTTATTCAAACATTGACATCTAACAAATATTTCCACCTCCTGATTTCACACCTTAATTGAAACGCACATACAATATAAAGTTTACGTGCACTGGAAACAGCCTCGGGCACCGAAATGAAAAAGGCAAGAGAGCCAGAAACAGCATGCTCTGGAAAGGAGTTGTTTGAACTGCTTTCATTTTTAAGAAAGACCTCTAAATGATTACATCCCAATTTGAATAACAAACATTGAACACAAACTCATAATCAATGACATTGTTTTTGATGTCACTGAGAGCAAATTGAGGCTTACAACAGGATGGAGCCAAACCAAGAACATTAGTAGGTTCATGTGTAAGATTCAATTAAACATTGGACGTAATTATGCTGGGAGTGATGGGGTTAAATTAAAAGACACACAACCCTTAGTGTTTCCTGTCCAGACAAATGTAGACCTGATAAAAAAACTGCTTATCAAGGTAAAAGTTGCTCTTCAACATTTGCCCACATTATGGATGCTCCAACATTTATCATATTCAAAAGTCATTAATCATTATTTGTATTTCTGACTACTTATCTGTTAATGTGAACCTTATTCAAACCACTTCACCCACAGTTTGTGGAAACAGTGATGTATGCCCTCTACATCCTGTATGATTGATTGCATCTTTGCCGCTGACTCGCTTTAAAACACTGTTTTCACCACAGTTGAAGTTTCCCCCTCCCTCTTGCTCTCTAGGTGTTCTGTTTGTTGTGTTGGAGTGAGAGCAGTAGGAGTGTGGGGTTGATAGTGTTTAACAAGCAGGATGATCATTAAACACTCTGTCGAGATGAAAAAGCTCTGTGTTGCTTTGAACACAAGTGTCACATAAACACACATTAAAAGCTTCTTCATTTCACCTCTACATTTCAATCCATATATTAAAGCTTGTTCTGAAGGTGTGTGTCTGAACTCAGAATCAGAGCCAAGCCTCTGGTGGGTCCCCATATGACAAGAGAAGCAATCTGTTTCCATGAGCTTAGGTCCTGTGGCAGCGAATAAATTGCTTATTTGGATCCTGGGTTGAAAAGTTTGCTGTAAGTACTTCTGGGGCGATAGCAGCAAGGAAACAAAGGTTCTCCAAAGCTTTTATAAACTCTTCCTTTTACTAAGATCATCGAGTTCAGCTTGTTTACATGTGATCTCTGTTAAAGGTCCCATGTCATGCTTTTCCGGTTATTACCCGTCCCCTTGTGTGTTATGAAGGTTTTTATGCATGTAAACGGTCTGCAAAGTCACAAACCCTCAAAGTACACCCTGTAGCGAGTAAAACTCTAACACAGAAAATACCTGTCTATGCTGCCCCAGAACGCCTCGTTGGAGATTTCTCTTTTTCTTCCTGGGTACAGTGACGGGGGGGCAGGAGCTCCAACAAGCCGTTTAGGACAGAGAGTGAATACACATACTATACAGAGATGCTGTATGAGAAACCAATGTGATTTTGGAAAATTGCACAATATAAATCTACTTTAGTATACCTCAACAATGGAATTATGATCAGTAGAAATGGCCATGACATGGGACCTTTAAGCCAATACTTGCTGGGAATACACAGTAATAAGTGTCACGGGAAAAAAGCAGCTGGCTTGGTTATTCGAAAATATGTTTTAAAGAAAGATGAGTAAAACTCTATTGATTTTTAAAGGGGGAAATGTCAGTTAACTACTAGAAAAAAAATTGAACTTTCTGTGAACTAAGTTTAGTGGTCTAGTGGGATATAACAAACTTTGCCCTTCTCAGTATAATGTATTATGAAACACAATAAGTTAAGAAAAAACATTATTGATCCAACAACTACTGTGACATGAGCTCAAGAGTAAGGGCAGCAAAATAAAACCTTGATTTTATGACAAATAAAGATCATACAGAATGAAAAACCAAGACAGGAAATATAAAACATATAGCTATATTCATATATACTCGATATACATATTGCATTTGACAAATGAAACGGATAATTGCACAGTATTGAAAAACAGGATTGATAAATAGTATACATACTATAAAAAGTAGCAACGTTATTAACCCTGATGTCATTTCTCTTGTGTGTCCAGTTCCAGCAGATATCTACAAAGTGTCAGAAGACATCACGGTGAACGAGGGCAGTAACTTGACGCTCAGCTGTTTGGCTAGCGGCAGGCCGGATCCTGCAATCAACTGGCGACTGCTCAACCCCTCAGGTGAGAATTGTTATTTTTGATAATTTTTGTGATTCTTAAAGGTCACCTATTATGCAAAATTCACTTTGTCATGTCTTTTATATACAAACATGTGTCCCGTCTGTGTAAAGAGATTCTGAAAGTTTCAGGAAAAAAGATTCTCTCTCTTTTTGTCCTGATCCATTTATATAAAAACCTGTCTGAAAATGAGCTGATCAGATTTTGGCCACTTTATGATGTCATAACGATTTTTTGGCTTGTGTAACCATTAGCCAATAACCAACCAAGGTAACACCCCCCCACCTTATCACCTGAATCTCCTCCTAGAGCACCATTAGGCGCTTTCACACCGGAGTACTTTTACCCGTACTTTTCCCATTTAGTTCCGTTAGTGCCTGGAATTTTGCGTTCTCACCAAAAAGAGAACTTACTTCAGATAACTTTTACCCCCATTTTTAGTGCCTGCTAGAGAGGTGGGACTATCCTGGACTATCCAATTTCTGATTGGCTGGGCGAATTGCAAACCACGCCCCGTAAAACTCTGAAAAGTTTTTTGAAGCCGCCATTGTATTTGCTGGCATTAGCATTATTAGCATTAGCATTAGCCCCGCGCACCAACGGAGAGAGCATAACTTATGGCAACACAAAAAAAAACATGGGAGCGGTGGAGTGATGAGGAGGTGTCGGCGTTCTGGCGATTTACTCGGAAGGCTTCAGTAGAAGCTGCTGGGAGTCCCAGCAGCTTCTACTGAAGCCAGTCCCCAACTCCGGGGACTTCCGGCCGGGGACTTCGGGTGGCAGTATACGCCGTGAAGTTGTTTGCGGCCTGCCAGTAAACCCAAAGCAGAAGAAGACGAAGTGACGTCAGCGGCTTCATTTGCGTAATCCTCCATCAGGGACAGTGGCGAGCCGTGAGCTTTATACCTAGGCCCTCTGACCCCCACCCCTTCCCTCGAAAAAAAGGAAAAAAAAGAGTTATTACGTCACAGCGTATGCTTCAGCGGAATATCAAAACAACGGCCCAGGGTGCAAAACGCATCAATGACAGCGACCCTCTACCACACAAAACGACACCTGTGAACCCAATTTGTGTTCTTTGACATTGAAAATGATATTGCATTGTGTTTGTTACTTTCGTTACAGTTGTATGTCTTAAGTGTAATTTGGCATGATTTTATTTTGAAGGCGAGTTCACGCTGTTGACAGGAAGTTGTTGTTGCTATGGAAACAAGAAAAGTTTCACAGCGGGCGGAACTTGTCATAAAGTCCGCGATAATGAAACCCACCCATTTAGAGGGAAGATATGATTGGTCAATTGTACTGTCATTTGACATTACTCTCTCGTTCAGTTACTATAGCGGGCCCTCTGTGAATCGTAGAGAGGGCCAGGTGAGCTTCTTTCATGTAACCCTTCACATTCAAACAGAGACCAAACAGGCAGATTCGAAGGATTTATTTCTTTGGAAATGTTATTTTATTAAATCAAGTTTTTTTTCGGTAAAACTAATGAAAAATATAACAAAAATAATATAAAAAAAAAATATATTTTTAAAGAATATTTTTTTTTTTAATGTTTTTAAATATTATTTTTTGGAATATCTTAGGCCCTCACAGAGGGCCTAGAGGGCCCTGACGGCTCGCCACTGATCAGGGAACTTATTCCGGTGTGAACGCGATCGGGTCTTAGTTCCATGGGGGTACTAAGTGCTGGGAACTAAGTACGGCAAAGTACTTGGTGTGAAAGCGGCTATTGTGTTTATTTTAACCAAATATATTGCAGAGTGAGTGGCTCCTTTTTTTCATCAAAAGTAACAGACACAGAATCAGCACTTTTGAAACAGGGCTGAAACAGAGGGGATTATGGGATGCTACAATGCACGATCTGTTTGGTATTTGAAGCCAAACACTTCAGAGACATGTTTTGTATATATCTGAGACCTATATAATATATTGATGAAAAAGAGTACTATAGGGGTCCTTTAATGTCTGGGTAATGGTGTGACAGACTTTTTAATCATCTACCTTAAGTATGTGGTAGATATTGTATTTTTCTAAGCACCCCTTATGTACTCTCTCTTAAAACATTAGCTGTGGGGCCTGCTGCTAAAGAGGCAAGATAATATTAGAATCAGATATGAATGTATATTGAGACTGGAACTGATAAAAACAAGATATTAACAGTGATATATGATACAATTTGCCACAAACATCTCGCAGGATATCCAATAGCCATTAATGATTAACATGAAAATGAGACACGCTTAAGAACTGCATAGCTTGAATCATTATCATCACATTCAGACTTGTTTTCAGTAGTGTTGTCTGTACAGTTAAGACAAATCAATATGAATTTCCCTGAGGCAGAGGTGCCAAAATATAGACATATGGGCAAAAAACACAGTTTAAACTCAGTATAGAGACATTCAGTGAGGGTCATATTCAATGACTTTTCATCAGATTTGTTGGGCAATGCAGGATTGACCGATGTTTCCATCTGTAAATATTATGTTGACCTTCTGATCTGATATTGAAGCCTCACACAGTGTTTGCCACTTGACAGTAGATAAGAATCGTACAAGAGAAAGTAAAGCAGACATTTCTGAAGTGCATTCAAGATAGAGAGCTTTTCTGATTCTGCCAAACATTTTCAAAATATGTAAGATAGACAATTCAAATGACATTTCACCCAGGACTCCTCCGAGAGCAGCCTTTTGTTATTTTTATTAATTTGCCTGCTGGTTTCTTATTTGTTACCATCTTTACGATTATTGTAACTACTTTTGCATTAGCAAGGCTGTGTTTATCTAACCATGGGGTGAGTCTCCTACATAGGTCTTCATGTGATAACCATGTTGCTGTTTGTAAATGCTATCAAAGCGTGTCGGTCCGTACATCTCTCTGTATATGTGTGTTCAGATAAGGGTGATACTGTTGCTTTAGGATTTAATCCAATTTCAGTGAAAAGAATAACCCTCCCACTGTAGTATGATGGATGGAGATGTTCATGTCCACAACATCTCCATTTGATATTCATTTTGCGCCGATTGAAAACCATTCTAGTCGTGTGTCTTTATCAATTACTGCATCAGTTTGTCAACCCTCCAGACATCTTTCATCAAATCCGTTACCTGCACCTGGAAGCTGAATAACTTGGATGGGTGTATTTGCTTCTTTTGTCTGTTTGCATTAAGGAGAGTGTTCTGTTCAGCTTCATCCTGGGAGCCATATAGATCAGACTGGCTGCGTAGTGGGGTGAAAACAAAAAAGCTCCCCATAATGGTCTCCTAGTGAAGCTGAAATCAAACCCTCAAAGTTCAGATGCCTCACTGTAGGCTAAGCTCCTTTGCAGGTTTAAACAGCTTTTGTTCCAAGAATATGGATGGAGTCGTGGATGGAGAGGGAAGGAAAAAGCAATATCGATATTAGATTGTTCAAGCTGCAATGGACTGGGCCTTACTAAATACACCTGGAGTTATATTCAATTTCTTAAATAAGGTCACTTCCTATTCAATAGTCCCTTCCCTATGTTTTTGTTGAGGACGTAGTGGGCAGACTACCACCCGCATGTCTTTGTTTTTTACTGAAACAGTGTGACATAAGAACAATCCTGTAAGTCTACAAAGGCACATGTGGCTGCTCCATAGATGGGGGTCCCACACTATTTGCAAATTTGAGCACTGTTGTTATTTTTGTTTTTGTTTTGCGAGGGACTGCTGAGAGAGATAACAATGTCTGGCAACCTGTGGTCTCACTCCTTCGCCGGCCTGGGCGGTAACGCTGCTCTCCTGAGCTAGGGAGCCTCTTAAGTATTCACTGGGACTACTATGAGCAACAAAAGGCTGGTCCATGTCAACATGTCAGCCTTTATTCAGGAAGAAGGTATTTCTACAGTTTGGGAATCCAACTGAAGTCTCAATAAAGGTTAAAACTAACAGTTTGGCTATTTCCCAAAATGTCATTGCATATGAGTTATGCTTTCATTAACAAGAGGATGCATACATTCAGTCCAGCAAAAGGAAACCCTTTATTGATTAGGAAATGTTAACAGTAACATGTTTCCTATGCATATTGGAAAAAAGCATGTCTTATCTTATCTCGTCCTCTATAACAGTTGCCTAGACCCTGTCCAGAAATGCAATAATGAAGGCAGCACTGTTGTTTTTGTCTTCAAAAAGGTATAAAAAATAAGTATTTGAAAGTCTACTGAAATCCTAGAGTGACGCTTTGCATTTGCCAGACCATGTACGAGCCCAACTAAGACTGCAAAGATGATTACTTTTTAATGAGATCTGACAGTATTTTCCTTATCTTTAAAGTAAGATCCGACAAGAATTTTGAAAATGTTTTTATAATGAGACCCCTGGCCTGATTCTAAATCCCAGTCCAGCCCTAAAGACAACCGCACAGGTCTCACGGGCGATACACGTTTGTCTATTTAGCTTTAATAAAATGTCATTGCCTTCACAGAAGAAAAAACACTTTATTGTTTGTAGTATAAAGACATTTTGACACTTTTCACATTTGGAAAAACCCCATACGAAAGGTTAATTATTCGCAGCTATGAAAAGTTTAAAACCCCCTCTCATCATAGTGCTTTTTTTTAGTGCTGTACTGTTACGCTCATCTCTGATCTGCTATTGTGGACATTAACTTTAAAGTAAAGTAAGACCAACTTTTTCTTCACGGAATAAAATAGTGAATTGCTTGATATGTTAATTAGATAACTTATTGTTTATATTCAGTTGTGCTCATTTAGAGCTACAACTGCTCTGAGTAGTAGAAGAAATTGAGTATTTGATTGACAGCAATACAAATTGGGAACTTTCTCAATATCCAGTTAATTGTTCTATTTTCAGGAAAACAGCCAAAATGTGCTTCCAGCTTCTTAAATGATAATGTTTTCTGGATGTTCTAGTCTTCTATGATAATACTGAATATTTTAGTTTTTTCGGAAGGTAAAACAAAACAAGTCATTTTGGCTCTCAGAAATTCTGATGGGAAATGCTAACCATTCAGTCATT